GAGTTAGAATGTGAAAGTCTTGGGGATGTTGGTGGGGGAGGGGGGGGGCTATCTTTGCCAGATCTGCCAGGGTCACATATATTTGTTCTGGTCCGGGCTGCAGCTTTGTACCTCCTGTCTCCTCAGCCCCCTAGGTCAGCATCATGATACCATCCACTTTCGTCAACTCTTATGTCCAGATCCCTTCTGTGAGGTGTGTAATAGCACAACGGCTGAGGTCAATCGGCTGCTGTTCTCAGAGGCCCTGGAAGATGCTACTCCCTCCGTGATCCCCTTGGTTTCCACAGCTCCTGTGACTGACTCATCCTTCACCTCATTCCCTGACTTCTCAGCAGTCCGTTCAGGAGACCTATTACCAGTGCCTTTGCCTGAGCCTTCCCCACCCCACCCCACTATCTTCTCACCTAACCCAGTGACCTCTTTAGCTGACTTTTTCTTACCCTCACCCCCTGGGCAGTCCCTGCCACTAGAGCCAAATACCTTGGATTCTGAATTCCCAGTGACCCATTCCATACCCCAGCCCCTCGCCTTTCCCCCTCTCCTACTACATGACATTCAGAAAGGGGATCCTGTCGTCCAACTAGAGGCCACTTTACCTCTGAATACCATCTCTGCTCTTGACCCCACCATTTCACAAGATATCACCCTCTTACCAAATCTGTCCCAGGCAAGGAATCCCACTGATTCGTTTGCTTGTCATCATACACCACCAACCTTGTCTGTTTTACCACCGCCAGACTGCACTTTAACTGTGACTCAATCTAAATCAATGTCCATCTCAATGAAGCCTGATCCTGTGAAGTCATCTCCAGATAGCCCTGGTAGGATGTCCACTTATGTCCCAACAATTAGAGGTAGTGACTGCTCAAGCCTGTCAGTTTCAGAATTCTCCTGTTGTCAGGCTCAGGCCAAGAACGTGTACCTTCCCACATCAGCACACTCCAATTTTCAGCAAGAGCAAGTTCACCTCCATCTACCAGAAACCTATCTCTGGAGAGACTCTGCTACTAAGCACAAGGAGGTCAGTGCAATTTCTTTCCCTGGCCTTCACTTCCAGGCACTCTTGGAGAGAGAAATGAAGAATAGAATGGCTTTCCAGATTTTAAAGAAGAAAGTAAAAGAGGAGGGGCCATTTTCCAAACAAATGTGGTCAGAATACCAATGGACATCTGAAGGGAATTTGCTGCAGCCATTTGATGTACAGGTCACCACAGCCCCCCAAACTGGCTGGAATATTGAAGGCAAACCAGAGCAGCTGCACATTTATCAGCAGCTCCTCCACGTCAAGTCTTTGGGGGAGAACTTGCCTCAGAAATATAGCCTATTCTTCTGGGGTCTTCCTTCTTTGCACAGTGAGTCCTTAGTAGCCACTCTCCTGTTTTCTAGTAGTACTTCCCCACTAGGGTCTCACTTTGTCTTATTCAATGGAATTCATAATACCTCTGCAGTCAAAATGCACAATCTAGTATCTGCACCACTTTCTCGTTCCCATCACCTTCCTCTCCCCACTGTACATCTCCAACCCTTGCCTCAAACCCTGTTCCAATCCCAGCCCCTACCTTTCACTCAGGTGAACACCCAGGCCCATTTTCAATCCCGCCTCCCAATCATACCATCTTCTTCATCCCAGGTTAGGGACTGTGGAGTGTCTTTCCATAGATCCAAGAATGAGTCAGACTCTCATACCTTGACTGAACATCAACACCTGGAATGCCATCTGTTGCAGAAGCAACAGGAAAGCTTGTGGGGTTTAGTCCCTGTGTTCCAGAAATCTCAAGAAACCATTTGTCCTCGAGCTCCCAACCTTCCATTGGTTAGCCGGTCATCCCATGCCCACGTACCAGTCTCCATCCTTCCTGGCCATTTTCATATCACCTGTGAACCCCAGGACACATGGGAGTTACATAGTCCAAGGGAGGTAATCCCATGCTCCTGCCCCCATGACTGTAGAAACCTAGAGTCCCTAGCACTGATGGAGCCTCAGTGTAAATTAACAGGAATCTCTCAGCGAAAAAGCAGACATGTTCACTCACAATTCTATGAGCTTCAGGGCCATAGTAGCAAGGATCTAGCAAAGACTGAACTGAATCTCTCAGGAAGATTCCGTGAGAGGGTCCCAAGAAAGTCCCAGCTAAGGAAGGATATGAGGAGGAATCTTGGGTATATCCTAGAGAAGAGCCCACAAAGGGTCTCAGAATGCTACCTAGTGAAGGGTCGCAGGGCTGCCTTGGAGACAACAAGTAACTGTGTGTGTCATTCAAGGAATCACTCAGGGAATGAATTATTAAATGTCTCAAGGAAGGAGACAGACCAGAATCAAATCAAAAGCGCTCTTAGATTATATATGAGCAAGAAGTTTTGGCAGATCACAGCGGGTAGGATTCCTATAGGTGTGTGTTATTCATGGCTGGCTGATGACAATACATTGCCTTTCTCTGGGAGTTCCCAGACTACCTCAGAAAACACAAATTCAAAAAAGACTCTGGTGGGTAGGGTTTACTGCCAGGTCACCACTCTAGGACTTTCTTTTCTTGATCCCAATACACGACAGGTACTAGAGGCACATATTATAAGATTTCGCATGAGTCAGAGGTGGGGTCTACCCCTCAGGGTTCTTGAATCCATAAAATTCTCTATGTTGAGAGAAGCCAAAACATGGCCTCTTCCCCAAGTTGACTTTCCCTCCTCAGCCATGCATATTTCTGGGGTGGATTCCAAAGCTGAGTTTTTTAAACCCCTTGAGGGAAGCTCCAAAACTTTTTTGGGAAACAGGGTGAGAACAGCAAATTCAGTCCCCACCCTGGATCATCCTCTCCCTACTATGTTATCTGTGGGCAATGCAGGACGGGGGGTCCTGAAGGCATCACACTCTCACACTGACCATAGTCCTGCCCAGTGTATCCAGATACCTGAGTGTGGCAGCCAGACTTTTCAGCCCCTTACACACAGCATCGGAGCTCAGGTCAGACCCAGTGAGACTGTACCAGAAAACACATGTGGCCCAGAGGTGCCCACAAGGCAAGCTGCGGCTGGACATGAGCCAAGGCATGAGAATGTGGGTTCCAGCAACAGAGTAGAAATGGTACAGGGCAAAGTGATGGTGGAGAAGAATTTAGAAGAATTTGCCATGTCCAACCTGTCCACGGATATATTCGACACCGAGGAGCTCCGTACTCTTCAATCCCAATCTTGTGACACCTTGACAACCAGTGAGTTGGGAAGCTCCAAAATGAGAAGTGTCAGTAGGAGTAAGGTAGAAACTGCCCTGACCACTGAACATCCGTCACCAAAAATACTGGTTCCCCAAGATTCTAAGCTATCAGAGCTGAAAAGACAGCTTCTGAGTGAGTTAAAGTTTAAGTTGGAGAGTGAGGAGCATAACCAGGCTCAAAGATGTCCCACTGACATGCCCCTTACTTCAGATAGCTTGACTTCCAAGGCGTCACTGACTCCGTCCCAGAGTGTCTGCAGCGGGGTCTTGGAAGCATCCCAGGTGCTGCATGTCCAATTGGAGGATAGCAGAATTAGCATGGGGCAGCAGCAGGAGTCCTGGGACTCTAAGGTGGCCTTCCGTAAGTGTCAGACTAAGAATTTCCCACAAAGAAAAAGTGAAAGGAAAGTGAGACCTCAGGATGATTCCAAAGCAAGAAAATGTAGAAGTGAGGACTCAGGAGTAGGGACATCTGCAGGCAGAAAGGAGAGCTACCGTGTTGAGGACAGAAAATTAGAGAGTGCTTCCCCATCTCTGTCACAGAATGAACAGTTTCCTCCTGAAAGTTACTTCAGAAAAAAGATGAGGCACTTTCTTCAGTGGATCAAGTCCAAGAAAAAAATCACAGGGCAGCAGGAATGTCCCCAGCAAAAAGGCAAGTTCATGTCAACCTTAGTGCAGCACCAAGACCCAGTTGAAAGTGTGACTACTTTTGTGAGCGATGGGCCTCCTGAAGCTCACAAGCTCATGACTACCACTGGGAAGGTCCTAGAAGAGAAGCTGGCATGTGACGGATCTGAGGCCTCAGCAGTAAGCCAGCAGCAGGAGGAACTACAGGCCCAGAGATATTCCTCCAACTATTGGGCTCTCTCTGAGCCACAACAAAAGAAACGGGCAAGTATCAAGTCCTGCAGCCATGAAGCCGTCTGTGCTGACCAGAACCGTCTTAGCAGTGTCAGACAGAACAGACACAGGGTCAGAGATCCCCAAAAAGTTGTGGCCTTCAAGGACCAGCTATTAAGCCAGAGTCAACCCCCTTCTTCTCTGCCCTCCGGGGAGCCTGTGCCTCATCCAAGCCCCACCTGTGTGCATCAAGTATGCCAGGTCCTTTCGGCCACCAGGGGTGACCCTGATGAAAGTACTGTGTTTAGTGATTTGACTCTTCTACTCAAGCAGAAAATGCTTCTCCAGCACTTCCACAGAGAAAAATTTCCCTGAAGAAATCATTCCATCCTTGTTAAGAAAGCCTCACAGTTGTCATGACAATATATCCTCTGATGAGGACAACCTTCCGCACAACTAAGAATATCAATCCTCCCCAATAAATCTTTCTTCTAATAGAGAGTGCTGTTCTCTGTGTGCTGCACTGGGACTGGGGCTGGGGCTTGTGCTTAGGGAAAGGAAGAAGTGTGTTCAGCTCTTACTGGTTTCCTCTCTGGCTTCTATAAGTGCACCAGTCCCTTGTAAGAAGCTGGACAGTGGCCTTCTCAGTTTCATCCTGGGGTCCTTTATTTGACCCTGCTCAGATGTCCTGTATTAAAACATTTACTTTTTTTTTTCATAAAAAGTACAAAAAGCTTACTCTGAAAACCTTCAGGCCTTTACAAAGTGAGAAAAACCCTTAAAGAGCAGAACTTGGTTCAAACTCTCTCTTCATCTGCGCCCAAACTATCTATTGGGTGGGATGAGTTACTATGTCACCTAGGCCTCACCTCCTGGAGGCTACTCAGGGCTTATTAGAACCCAGTGATACCATTTCAGCATAAGAGTATACGGGATAGTCTTTGAGCATGAAGACAGTACCTCCAGGGATGTTGCCAGGGACGTTGTCCTCCTCTATGGTGCCTGCCTTCCCAAACATGCAACATTTTACGCCAAGGTTACAGTAATTTAGGACTGCACTAATTATCTATTGCTGTGTAATGGACACTACAAAAGGTAGTGGCTTAAAAAATACATACTTATTATCTCACAGTTTTTGTGGGTCAGAAATTCAGGCGAGGCCTACCTGGATTTTCTGCTTCAAGGCTGCAATTAAGCTGTCGGCTGAGGCTACATTCTCATCCGAAGGCTTGACTCGGGAAGGGCCAACTCCTGTACCCATTCACACAGTTGTTGGCAGGATGCAGTTCCTCAAAGCCTGTTGGACTGGGATCCTCAGAACCTTGTTGGCTCTTGGCTAGGGCTGGTTGGTTCCTTGTCACGTGGGCTTCTCCAGCATGGCAGCTTACTTCATCAAAGCAAGGAGAGAGTTTACAAACAAGACAGAAGTTACAATCTTTGGTAAACTAATAACGGAAATGACATCCCATTACCTTTCCTTTATTCTATTAGTCAGAGGCAAATCACTAAGTCCTGCCTATGCTCAAGGGGAGGCGTAATTACACAAGGGTGTGAACATCAGGAAGTGGGGATCATTGGACTCTTCTTAGAAGTCTTCCTAATGCAAGGGTTTCTTCTTGGACACCCTACTCAGTTTGCTGAAGCAAAAGTGGCCAAAGGTGCCAAGTGGATCTTTGTCCTCATTCATATCCAAGTCATCAAGGTCAAAACTGTTTAATGGCTAAACGGAGTGGCGGCTGGTAAGTAAACATCAAAGAGATTGGAGCATCCAAAGAAGGAAGGAAAGGTGGTATAGAGAGGTAAAGGTTGTATGGGTTCTTCCTGAATTGTAAAGTAAAATGAGCCCTCAGGACCACCTGACTACTACTGTAGTCAGCCTTAGAGGGGAGGAAAAAGTAGGTGTAATATGTCTCATCCGGCTCACTATGTCTCATACGGCTCTACCACAGTCTCTCCACTTTGCCCTAGCTCCCAGACCATAGGTCTAAAGAAGTAACCTTCAGCTTTTGTAGACCTAGTCAAGCTTATAGAGGAAGCAAACCCTTCAGGTTGCAAGGTTTAATTTCTATTCTTATTAATTAATATATTTAATATAGTACATCCGTCATTTCAAATCTAACTCTCATAGCTTGAACATCAGAGAGAATTGGTCACCCAGTTGACGGAAAAGCCAGTACTAGGGATCTTACAGCATGTAACTCCCATTTTGAGACATTTTTCACGTTACCTATGGCTTGAGCACGTCTAACTAAGGGAGATGTGAAGGCTGAAAGGGTTAATAAGCTGGGGCCACATAACAAGTCATATCTAATGTGTATTGCTTCCATTCAGAGAAATATTGAATGAGGCAATGAGACAGAATTTGGACACTTAGAACACCTAGGAAGTGATCTGTCCAAATGACTTAGTAACACCATCCATGAGTGATCTCATACTACTTTTCTGCTTCTAGGATTGTTTTCCTTTCCTCCAGATTCCTGTTCCTATGGGAAAGCATCACGATCATAAAAAACTAAGAAAGTGTGTTAGCTGAAAAATGATTAGAGAGATGAAGATCAATTTCTCTAGGAAAAGATGTGCTTTGTGTCCACAGTCAGGGATCACAGTGTTATGAAATTTTAGGAGAGTGTCATTTACGTGATATAGTGTGGTGCCTGAAGAATTGTCCCTGACACATAATGCAATGGGAATGGGTTACCTGAATTTTTACAACCTCAAGCTTAAACTCTAAACGTAACGTCAGGGTTGACAAAATGCATGTATTGATTGGTACCTTAATGTGGATTGGGCATGGTGACCCCAGTTCCCAGCTTCAGGCATTGAGAATTTCTCTGGTGCCAGGTGGTGCCTAAGGCGATCAGATTCCTTGAGGCAGCCATCAGAAGGACTAACACAGATAACTGTGCCACAGTCGGTGGTTGCAGTGAAAGAGCCCAGGCTATGAGAAAGGGCTCTTCTCTTGAGGCTCTTCCCCTAGAACTTCCACTGGTCCTGGATCAGAGCCTAAACTGGGCTATTTTCCTGGGGTCACAAGGGCACATTTGGTCTTCATTAGGAAGGCCACGTGGCAGGTTCAGAGACTTGTAGAGGCTGCCTCCTTATTTCTCCCAGGAGACTCAAGGTCTCTTCCTTCCTTCATTGGTGGGGGTGGGGGAAGCAGGGAAAGAACGGATTCATATGTATGTGTAGCCGTGCTTCCCTGTGGGGAGGAGGTTGGGCTGGCAATGACAAGAGTGGGTAATTTTCCTCTGTAGGGATTCTCTCCCAGCTTAACGCAGCCTTCATTTGAGGCAGGATATTTTACCAAGCTACTGATTGCTGCTTCTATTCCCTGCCAGAGGGGACTCCAGAAGGAATAAAAATTAACTTCCCCTTTTGTCTTACAGGAAGTTCTGAGCTTCTGCTCTCAGGGGTTATTAATGGTTTTCATGTTTCCTGACCCCCAAAGAGAAGTTGTGAGGCACCTGTTGTACAGTCCTGTCCAGACTCTTACGGGTGAGGAAAATTTTCACCAGGTGTTCTCAGGAGAGAGGAGATAGGCATTGATGTAGGTGCTGGGATGAAAGGAGAGTTGCCTAAAGGTACCAGTGGCTCCAGTGACTTGATACTAAGGGTGTAAGGTGAGTTCCTGAGTGGATGGGTTCTGTGTGGAAGTCCTCTGGGAGACAGCACAATCTTTCTAAGGGATGAAATGATGTTTGCTGAGATGAATGATCATCAAGCCACATTACCTTGGGAGCTGCATCAAAATTCTGCATTGCCGCACTGGGCATAGAGGCTATACAACCACTGGCCTATTAATGGGCCAGTGGAGCTTGGGCAATGAACATCCCAATGGCAACCATGATAGACCCAAGAACAGAGTCTTTTTCTTATATATTTGCCTGATATTTTATATTTGCCTGATGGCAAAAGCCTCTCCCCGCCCCATCTCCATTGCCAGTGATGACTAATATTGGATACCTTCCTTCAACATGGGGGCTCTGATCCAGATTTAATTCAATTTAGAAAAATTAAGTGCTGCTTGTTGTACTTCAGCTTTGTAAAACATGCTTTTATGTATCTTATCCCATTTGATATTTACAATTCTTCAAGGTAGATTTTTTATTTTTTAAAATTCAATGAAAATATAATGTATTATTGGTTTCAAACATAGAGTTCAGTGATTCATCAGTCTTATATAATACTCAGTGCTCATTACATCCCATGCCCTCCTTAATGCCCATCACCTAGTTACCTCATCCTCCCACCTCTCTCCCCTCCAGTCACCTTCAGTTTGTTTCCTATGATTAAGAGTCTCTTATGGTTTGTCTCCCTCTCTGATTTTGTCTTGTTTTATTTTTTTCCTCCTCTCCCATATATCCTGTTTCGTTTCTTAAATTCCACATATGAGTGAAATCATATGAGAATTGTTTTTCTCTGACTGACTTATTTCACTTAGCATAATAACCTCTAGTTCGATCCACGTCATTGCAAATGGCAAGATTTCATTTTTTTGATAGCTGAGTAATGTTTCATCTATCTATCTATCTATCTATCTATCTATCTATCTATCTATCTATC